TCCCGCCTTCATTCCTTCCCAAGTAACCAAGTGTCCTTGGTTTTTGCGTCGCTGGTACCACAACTGAGCATCCTTCTCTAAGTGATAGGCTGCTAGTTTAACTTGATCTTCCAATGATGTCCCTTGAAATTCAAAGAACTGTTATGCGCGGCAAATCCATAAGGTTGGATCTTCTGAGCCATCATAGCGAGGAAAATCAAGCTTTGCAAGCTTAGGAGCCACCATTCCACCTGCGTTCCTGACACCACCTTGTCCATGTGGTCCCCGATTCTTAATGACGGACCCTTCTTCCGTCAATTCTAATCGGGAGTTCACTGTCCCCATTAGTTCTTCCATCTGCTTAAGGAGCCTCTCTTGACCTGAGCTCAGGTTCTCCACCTGAATCTCAAGCCGTTGGAGTCGCTAATCGTCAGCCATAACCGGCTCTGATACCAACCTGTCACGTTCTGGGTTGATGGCATGCCCCCGACCCCTTCCTCGCCCCCTACCTCGACCTCGAGCTATGTTGCTAAGGTAAGAGCAGAACTTAAGAATCTATGGAACAGAATTCAAGACAAGTCTTTTGAAAGTTTTCCTCCCCCTTCATTACTTGAGAACATTGATATTTATAGCTTACAGGCCCAACAAACTTAGCAACTACTAAAAGATAGCAACTACAAAAAATAGTAACCACTAAAAGAAAACAATAACTTCTGGGAAATAGAAACTAAAAGAAATAGCAATTCTAGAAAATAGCAGTTACTAGGAAATAGCAACTGTTAAATAGTAGAAAATAACAACTCCTAAAAGAAAATAAAGACTAAAAGAAATAGTAACTCTCTAGCTTGCTACAGCTAGTTATTTTGGGCTGGGTTAATAGATAAGGTAAATTGCTGCACATGACACAATCTTTCTTAATAAACACTTTCTTCTGATCCCCACCTCCAATAAAACAAAGATACCAGCTATCAAAATCATCAATTACTCAACTTCAAATGTTGTAAAGAAAAGTTCCTGTGCTCCAGCCATAAAAAGCTGTAAACTTACGCGAGATTTGATTCAACAAGGTTGTGTTTCAACTGCTAAAGCACCAGAAAAGAGAGAGAGAGAAAAATAAAATCCAAACCGGTTTCTGAACGGTGAAATCTCAAAAATGCAAAATTTCTAGTTCCCGGAGAAACCAATTTAAGGACCCATTCTACGATATTTGCAGAATTTGGGAACGTCCCACAATGATGCATCCATCGCAACCCAAACATTGAAGGAGCAGAGAAGGGATTTGCCAAAAGTATAGGCTATATAGCCTATAGGGGAGTATGAAATGTGAGATGTAATAGAACGCTGGACTGGGCTAAGTACAAAGTTGAATTAGCGCGCTTAATTAAAACCGCAAAAGACTTGTCTATTATTCTGCAACCATCGGATTGTGTGCTAGATTCAATAACAAACACCAGGTCCCCATGAAGTAAATCATTCACCTAGGCTATGAAACCACTATGGCCACAGTGCAAATCTCATATGTTTTAACTTTTAACTATCCTAGGTTGACCAGAATTCCAGAATATTGATGATTCACACACCTGATGAGTGATGACCTTAATATCCATCTTTCTCCTAGACAAGAGAAAATAAACAGACTAAATTTTTCACATGATCCAGAGACTCTGGTGGCGAAACGAAGGCAGCCAATATTGTTTACACCACCTTTTTTTTTATCTTATTTTTTCACAACAAGGATTTTTACACCACATACCCCTTACAATAGACGCCTAATTAAGCTGGCTGCTTTATTAACCAAACGTATTTCCAAGTCTAACGACCCGTGGAGAGAAGCGACTCTGCCACAGATGATTGAGTGATTGTATTCCCCAGAGAAGGACATGACGTACTAAACCCGTCGAAGCCTGCTTCATCGTGAGCACTAACCGGCAATGGGTCCGGGAGAGGAGCATCTCCGTTCAACAACTCCAATACTTGACGCATAGTCGGCCTAGCAGTTGGAATTGAATTACAGCAAGCAAGGCCAAGTTTCAACACCAAATCCATCTCCTCAACTACATAATCACCCCCCAAATTTGGATCTGCTGTCTCAAGAATGGTCCCTCCCCTCCAAGACGAGAACACCCAATCAACCAAAATAACATCCTCATCACCACCCGATGCTTGTGGTTCCATAGGCCTTTTCCCACAAGCCACTTCAAGCATAAAAGCACCAAAAGCAAACACATCTGTGCTCGGTGTCGCCTTGCTAGTTCTAGCGATCTCTGGCGCAAGGTAACCTAGAGTTCCCATCACATGTGTTGTTTGAGGATCGGTTCCGTGATCATATAGCCTTGAGAGTCCGAAATCCCCTAACCTACCATTAAATTCTCCGTCTAATAATACATTGCTGGACTTTACATCTCTGTGAACAACAATCTGCTCCCAGTCTTCATGCAGATAAAATAGCGCCGACGCTACCCCTTTGATGATTCTAAATCTTTGGTCCCAACTCAGTCTAGAGTTAGACTTTGGTTGGTCGAAGATATACTTGTCTAAACTTCCATTTGGCATGTAATCGTACACCAACAGAAGCTCTCCTTTACGCCGGCAATATCCCAAGAGTTGTACTAAGTTCCGGTGCCGCAGTCGACCGATGCTAACAATCTCGGCAACGAATTCTCTCATTCCTTGCCTTGATTCATGGGACACTCTCTTCACTGCAACTTCAACTTTGGAAGTGGGTAATATGCCTCTGTACACAGTACCGAAACCGCCCGATCCCAGAAGCTCCGTTTCCCTGAATCCTTTGGTGGCAATGTAAAGCTCCTTAAATTTGAACCTTTGCGGCCCGTAGTCTAATTCCCAATCTTCAACTACTTCTGCAAATTTTCTCTTCCTCAAGAAAAAAGTAATGCCGCCTATCATTGTGGACAATAAAACCAGGCCAATAATGGGCAACCCAACAGTAACAAACTTAGACTGCGGTTTGGGTCCTACTCGAGGAAGCTTAGGAAGTTGGGAAAGAGTGAGCTCTTTGGCTGAACCGTTCATCTTAAAGCTCCACCCCAACACGTACTGGGATGTTAGAGTTGGGCTAGTAGACGCCGAGAAACCAACGTACATGGCGTCTTTCATGATTGGAGAAAGATTATAATGCAAGGATAAGAGTGGGATATCTGGTTTGTGCACATTAATCGGAGCTAACGTGACATTAATTTGAGTGTTGAAGCCATTGTATTCGATCCACAATTGCATTGCCTTCCCACTTTTGAGGGTTAGGTTCTTATGCCCACCATTTTGATCAGTAAAATAAGACGCCGGTGCGGAAGCAACAGAACTTAAGTTGTTAATGTCAATACCTACGTGATTATCATTGATATCATCAAATTCAATGTTCTGGATTGTGTCGAGTTCAACTGCAACAACATGGTTGGACGAATATCCATTGTTGGACGCGTTGAAGATGCCTAGATATTGGTTTGGTAGAGATCCTGGCAACCCCCTTGAAGGAGCGATGACAAAAGCTAATCCATGGCCGGCTACATCTGGGATTCCGGGCTGGGTGAAGAGGGCAAACACGAAAGTGGTAGAGAAGGAGACCACTTCACCGTCGGATGGGTTCTTGAAGTGGAGTGGGTATGGGTAAAAAGCGTGACCTGTCTGATGTGCAGTGCGGTTGGTCACCATCAATAGGCCGTCTGGTGTGATCTGTGCCAAACCGTCCAGGTTCAAGTTAACACCTCGGAAACCATTGTAGGTGAATCCAGCATCTTCAGAGTCTGCAATCCAAACAAGCGGAAATAGAAAGAGATACAGTTCTGTGAGCTTGACAAACATGGTCAAGTGCATATTTGCTGCTTAATTGATGAGAGGCTCTGGAAATGATGATATAGTACGTTTTTCTTCTGTTCTACTGTTGTTTAATCTCGCAGCCCATGAACCACCAAATAAAACGAGAAAAAGAGAGAAAAGAAAAAAAAAAAAACAATGAACAATGAAAAGGTCACAAACCAAATCAAAATATCTTGTTCACATTAATTACGCTGGTCATCCAAGTAGAAGTCTGACTCTACAGTGACTAATACAGTAACGCTGGTGGACCAGAAAATGCTTAAATCATGAGGCGCGGTGGACGAATTGTTTTAGTCGTGAATTGTGTTATTATTTGTGGTTGTTAATTTGATGTTAAAGAATCATTAATACCTTCACATAGATTTTAGGGATAAGTGCACTACAGTCCAATGTTCATTAGTAAGCTCCCATAATCGGCATCCTGCCTGTCTATTTGATATTAATTCTTGATCAAGATTCATCGTATACGGTGGGATTAAATAATTCTGAGTTGAGTTCATTAATTATTCTCTCAAGATTTTATTTGGACTTGAGGCTCAATTTAGAAGGAGTACAAATATAAATGCATACACTATATACAAAATAATATAAAATATAAGATTTTACACTTTATAAATTTGTGTTTGTAGAGGCTTAATTAATTTATTGGACACACACACATATAAAAAATAATAAAAGACCCCTATACTATATGACCGTAGACAAAGACCCTCTTCCATTAGCTTTCCGTTGTAATCCACCATTTTAATCCCATACTACCTTTGTAATAAATATTCGAATAATTAGAAGAAAATCACTATTCATCTTTCTCCGACCTCACGATACACACGAACAACAGCGGCGATTGATTCCGAGTTAAAAGTGTTGATAAAAACTAAAAATAACTCGGGAGAATAAAGACAAAGAGAGGGATTTACACAATTACACTTGCATGTTTTCGTATTTTTTTTCTATATATAAAATCCTGAAACCAAACTTACTAGTTACAATCACTTTTTCAGTCTCGGAAGATGACGTCGCTGACTAATCCATCAATGGTTGTAAAGAATCCGGTGAGAATTTCTGGGCAAAAAGAAAAGGGTCGTGTCGTTTCGATACGAACGAGTCGGAGCCATTGGCAGTCGAGTTGCCATCGTCACTATATCTGGGCCTAGCTTTTCTAAGCGAGAGGATCAGCTCTGGCGAAACCTCAGAAGCCTAGTTCGTCTTTGAGGATCTCGATGAAGGTCTTATCGGATCCAATGAGGGTTTTGTATGTGAAGCCAAAGGAATGGAGGGGGATGCAGGAGGGGGAGAGGAGAGAGCACATGGTGTTGGAGGGGGCGTCCAGAAGGGCGTGAGCGAGGAGGCGACGAGCCATGAAGACAAGAGATGGGGTAAATGGTTGGGTGGGTTTGGAGGGGATGGTGCGCCCGGAGAAGACAAGAGATGGGGTATATGATATTATACATGTGCCTAAATGCTTATTTTGCAAAATTTATGTATTTTTATATTTTATTAATTTTTATTATTTATTTATGAAATTAAAGATTAACACATTTAACCCAAAAGTTGAACTATTTATTATCAATTTTTATATTTCATTTTTGGTTAGTTCTAAATTATGTATTTTATTTTCATTATCAATAAAAATAATTCTTATTTATTACACTTATTTTTTAATTTGATTAATAAAAATATCATAAATGTGTCTAATTTTTTTTTATATTTTAATTTTTTATATTTATTTGTATTTATAGAAATTTTATTACCTAACTATGATTTCATAGGTTCATTAATTTGATTCCAATGGTTGAATTGCTTAGCCACTACTTAGATAAAAAATGGTTTTGTTTTTGAGTGAATTTTAAAATATATGAGTTTATATTGTTAAAAATATTGAAATAGATGCAATTAGTAGCATTTATTAGTGAAAAATAACTTAAAAATATAGGATTTAATAAGAAAAAAATGAGATTTAATACCTTAAGTATAAGACTTAATGAGAGGGGATTAAATTAGGTGGAAAGTAATAATTGAAATTACATTTTCAACCCTTACAATTAAAGATGGAGTAAATACACAAATATAGGCATTTTAGTAGCCATTAAAACTGACACTAAAGTTATAATAAAAAGAGTTTTATACCCTTTATCAAATAAAAAAATAGAGAGTAATTTTAACCAAAAAAAAGTTTTACATTGAATTCGTACTTTTATATATAATATAGATATAGATAAATATATATTATAGTAATTATTTTAATTATATATTTGAGGTTCATGCCTGTCTAGCTACGTTTGGAGGCTTACACCTTATCCTTTTAAGGCCATTATTTCTCAACCACTCCTTCAGCTTGTTAAAACCTTGGGATTAAATATTAATGCCTAATAGCTGTTACACTATCACTCGAGACTTGGTTGTAGCATAACAACGAAAGAAAAATGCCGTGATGACCAAGTAAAGTCAACATTAAGTCTAACAGATCTAGTTATCAAGGAACAACTTTAAGCTAGATAAATGGGTTCACCAAAACCATTAAATGGGCCACATGTGATAGATTATATATTTTCTGGCAAGAATCTTACACACTAGAAGGATTAAGGACCAGGCCTTAGGGTGATAAGATAAATACGGTTGAATGTATAATTTAATGTAGGTGGAAAACTGGAAATAGTTAAAACTTGCGGGGGCTCTCCGTGTTGATCACGGAGAACAAAGTAGGTTTGATTTAGTGCATGGATTCCTATCAAAGAAATGAAGCACCCGTTCTTAAGTACATACCAGTAAATTAAAGAAAGTAAAACAAAATTTTAGGCCTCGGAGAAGAGAAGATGCCGACGATGTTTGTGAAGCTCGGGCTACCACTGCATGATCTGTTCCGGCCGTTTCTTTTTCTATTCATGTCCTGCGCATGCAGGTCCTGGGCGGCCTTGGAGGATGCCGGTTTTACCTATAATGGCTTTCGAGGTGCCAATATTAGCCTGGATGGCATAGCACAAATCACACCCAACGGCCTTTTGATGCTAACCAACCAATCTCTCCGACAGTTGGGTCATGCCTTCTATACCTACCCACTCCACTTCAAGAATAATCTATCCGACGACGGTAATGTCTTCACTTTCTCTACCACTTTTGTATTCGGAATCCTCCCCAAGCTCCAAAATTTAGGTGGTCATGGAATTGCTTTCGTGATCACACCTTCAGGAGGGTTACCAGGAGCCCAACCGAGCCAATATTTAGGCCTCACTGTGTCCAATAACGGTAATCCGTACAATCGTTTTATTGCAGTGGAGCTCGATACCATCCTCAACAATGAATTCTCCGATATCGATAGCAACCATGTTGGTATCGATATTAACAACTTAACCTCTCTCTGTTCTGTTCCTGTATCTTATGTTACCAATGGTGGTAATCGTAAGAACTTAAGCCTCATAAGTGGGAAACCAACTCAAGTGTGGGTGGAATACAATGGCCTAGAAAAGCGAATGGATATAACGTTGGCTCCGATTGATGTCCCTAAACCCAATATCCCCCTTCTTTCCTGTTCCCTCAATCTTTCTCCGATCATGCAAGATCCCATGTACGTTGGTTTTTCATCATCGACGGGCAGCTTTGTTACAAACCATTACGTGTTGGGATGGAGCTTTAAGATGAATGGACCAGCTAAAGATCTCACCATCTCCCAACTTCCTAAGCTACCTCGATTAGGACCCAGAGAGCATTCCAAGTTTCTGACAGTGGGACTGCCCATTATTGGTCTCATTTTAGCTTCCGCACTAATCTCCGTTGTCCTTTCCATCGTGAGAAGGAAGATAAAGTTCGCTGAAGTTGTTGAAGATTGGGAACTAGAGTATGGGCCTCACAGGTTCAAATACAGAGATCTTTACATCGCCACCAAGGGATTTAAGGAAAAGGAGCTTCTGGGTATCGGCGGTTTTGGTAGGGTCTACAGAGGTGTGTTACCCACCTCCAAAATTCAAGTTGCAGTGAAGAGAGTCTCTCATGAATCTAGACAAGGATTAAGGGAATTCATCGCTGAGATTGTTAGCATGGGTCGGCTGCGTCATCGAAACTTGGTACAGCTCTTGGGCTATTGCCGGCGTCAAAGAGAACTCTTGTTGGTATACGATTACATGCCCCACGGAAGTCTAGATAAGTTCCTCTTCGACCAACCAAAGGTCACATTGAATTGGAGTCAAAGATTTGGAGTCATCAAAGGAGTTGCGTCTGGGCTACTTTATCTGCACGAAGGATGGGAACAGGTGGTCATTCACAGAGATGTCAAGTCCAGCAATGTTTTATTAGATAGTGAATTTAATGGAAGATTAGGAGATTTTGGCCTCGCAAGACTATATGATCGTGGAGCCGATCCCAAAACTACACATGTGGTAGGGACATTTGGTTACATTCCACCGGAGATTACTAGGACCAGAAAGGCATCACCGAGTACAGATGTTTTCAGTTTTGGGGCCTTTATGCTTGAAGTGGCATGTGGAAGAAGGCCAATAGATCCACAAACATCGTCGACAGACAAGATAATTTTGGTGGATTGGGTGTTCTCTTGTTGGAGTAGAGGAAAGATTCTTGAGACAGTAGATCCAAATCTGGGTAGTGATTATGTAACCGAGGAAATGGATTTGGTATTGAAGCTTGGTCTGCTTTGCTCTCACTCCATTCCGACTGCTAGGCCGACCATGCGACAGGTAGTGCGGTTATTGGTCGGTGATGCCCCTCTACCAGAATCATCTTTGCGTGGTCTCGGTGCAACTGGTCAAGCGTTTGCACATGGTAAAGGCCTCAACAAGTTTGCCACGTCGCATCCTTCTTCCTCTCTAGGAAAGACTACGACTACACAACTATCGTTAGTTGCAGATTCCCTCCTCTCAACCGGTCGTTAAACTTAATTCATCTGTTGTATCTACGTAAAAAACTCTCCTTGTGTTCCGTTGCATGCTTAGCGTAGAGCGTGGTCAGTTGTGAATTGTGATTGTTTTTGTTTTCGTAATATCTATCTATCTATCAGTGTGCGTAAGTGGCATAATAATCTTTGATGATTATAAAGGGAGATGCTGGATATATTATATTTTTCCTACCAATTTTCTTTCTACATTTTTAGTTCATTCATATAACTAACTTACTACTGATTTGGCATTTTAAGGAATTCATGCCAGTTTAAGCGGTGATTTTGTTTTAAAAGAAAATGCCAAATCAGCAAAATCATATTTTTTTTGCTAGGTGTTTTATAGGTACAAAGTACTGTTTGGGTAGGTGCCAGCTTGGAATTAATGCAGTGGGCGGGCGTTGGTGCATAGAGTGTGGGTTGTTGACATTTTGAATGTTTATAGCTTTGCAATGGAAATCAGAAATCTGCATTTGGCCTGTCCGTACTTCTCTGTTTTTTTTTTTTGTATTGCAGTTTAATGGCTGATGTCAATACAATCATACGAACCTAGTTGTCTCACCAATCAAGTGTTAACATGCTAGTGTTACGTGGAATGGGATCTGCTCTGCACACCGGCCTCACAATCACATCCCACCTTGTATTGGGATTTGGGAACATTTTCCATCTATACTATATTATAAAGCAATTAAGTATCACGTCAAGAGCCCTCTCCTTCTCTCTTTTCCCCTTCTCTCTTCTCTCCTTAAACCTCTTTCCTTTCTCTCTTGCCCCTTTCTAGTTCTTTCATTCACTCTCTCTCTTTCCTCTTCTTCCCTACCTAGCCCACCCATTAAGCCTCGTGGCAAGGGAGATTTGGTTTTATAATATATAGCCAAGTGGCAGCACTATCCCCCACTTTTCCCCAAATTATCTCTAATTTTTATTTATCTCTAAAATTATCTCTAATTAGGTAGAGAGTCTCTCCTAAATTATTGCTAATTCCTATTTATCTCTAAAGAAAGTTTGAATTAAAAAATTTAAGAATTATTTAAATATTACAATCAAATTATGTATTAACTTTAAAATATTTATTATGAACACAAAAATAATATTTTTATGGATTATTCAATTTAATAACTAAATAATATTTAAAAAATTTAAAACCAGGCTTAACCCCAAGCTTGGCAAAACCATCAAGTTTACCCGAAACCAACCAACCGTTAGTAAAAATCGATCAACTTGGGTTGTATCAATTTGGTTAATCGGCTCAAAAGATTTAAACTTAAAAGTTAATTTTAAATTTAAAAAAATACAATAGTATTATTAAAAAATAAATAAATGATTTAAATTCAAATTAGGTTGGGTTGGTCGGTTTCGTTAATTTGATGAACCATCCTAGCTGAAATTAATTATTGTTATTTTTATAGTGCAAAAAATTATTAAAAGTAGTATATAATATATAAATAATTATTAATGGTTTAAAAATTAAAATATAAAACAATTGTATACTCTTATATATTTGTATTGTCTAACCTTTGCTTAACAAAGCCTGTGCATAACATGGGTCCCCGCTAGTAAATAATTATGTACATATAAGGGAGATGCTCTTGATGTGCGGATCAAACATGCTGTGAGGTTTGTGTGAGAAGCACTCTATGAGGAGTAGATCCGGATTTGTGTTGTGTAGCCTAAATTGCTAGATCTACACACTTGTGTTGTCTAAGGGGTTCGTTTTTTTCATTGCCAAATTATCTAATAAAGGTTTTGTACCGTGGCTCTTATTGAAAAATGCAAAAAGTTGTTGAGAGATGTTTATTAGCATTTTTTTGACAGTTAGGCGCTACATGTGCCAAACAGTGAATAAACATAATATTCAGATTCAGTCCTCAGCCACTTTTAGTTGTGCATTGAGAATATCTCTTCATGAATAAAAACATACAAGTACGGAGATATCGGCAATATGTGGTTGTAAGTGAGTGTTGGGACAGTGTAAGCATGGTCTTGTGAGGACTGAATCCGAACTCAAAAAATATATTTCTATTGGGGAAAAGGGAAAACATCATTTTGATATTTCCTCCGTGGATGGCTCTCACACAATCTAAGAAAAATATTTCTTGATCAACAGCTTAATCAAACAAAATTTCAAACTTCATTGGGGAAACACCTATGTGGTGCTGAGTTGGCACCAATTATTTGATAAACGGAATTGATGTTTGGCACCATTGCTGATTTCTCAAAAATCCTTGCCATGTCAAAGCCACATTAGCAATGGGAAAAAACTATTGGTGGACCTTGCTTTTCCAACAAATTTGGAATGCCAAATCAGTGGCTATGAAATATTTGGGAAAACTTTCATCAGGCATATTAGTTAATTAATCACTAAGTAATATTCAACCATAAAAAAGCTTAATCAGATGAGCATTTGGTTCATCTTGTGGAATGAAACCATTTTAAGAGCAAAATGAAGATGTCAATCAACCATTAATATTTCTGTTGCTTCGATCTCTTTATTTTATCTTTTTTGATACGTTAATGGAGAGCACGATCGCTGCCAGTGAGGGGACAGCATTGAGAAGAACCAGAAACCTGAAATTTTACAGCCTCTCCTGTTCCAATTCTCCTTCATCATGAACATGACCATTTTCTTTGTTTTTGTTGTCTGTAACTCTCTCTTTTCATCATGGAGAACTTACAAGAAATCAAGGCATAAAAAGATCTTAGCAAGGGTTTTAGGAGAGGCAAATTATACCGATCGAGTACTGTATTGGGTATATTGGGGTTGTTCCATTTGCCTTTTATTAACAAGATTAAGCCACAATAACAATTGCATCATTTGAGCTTTTTTCAAATTTTCGTCTTCTTGATTTGTTAGTTATACTTTGATAATCCACTAATTGATAGTCTTTTGGGGCCCCTTTTCTGATAGTGCAACAAAAAACGTAAGCATGTCATGTAACATATTCGGATCTCCTACCCACATCTTATCCCAGAACACTACATCTGTAAATGAGGCTCAGTTTGGAAAGAGTACAAATACAAATATATACAGTGTAAATACATACAAAATATAAGATTTTGCACTCTATAAATTTGTATTTGTACTCCTTCCAAACTAAGCCTCAAGAACATCTCCCTATTAATAGTAATATGCAAATAGAGGAAATGTTTTTAATGTACGGCTGTAGTGAATGTGAATAAGTGGGGGGCAGGATTGTTGTAGGTAGTAGATCAGGATTGTCACAAAACTGCTTAGTGCAAAAAGTGTAGGGAGAAAAGGGGCGAGTGTTTGAACTTTGAAGTGAATAGGGGGAGAGAGTATTCAGGTTCATCAAATTAACACCTTTATCCCTGTACGTGCTTCTCATGGTGTAGACTAATCTTGAGAAGTTAGCCGGCATTGGCACGTCATTTGTACAGTATCAAAGTACGTACGTTCTTCATCTTCCTTTGGGTCAAAATGAATTGAATCAAATAAAAGTTGCCACTAAAGTGGGCAATCGAGTTCAAAGAAAGATGGAAAGGAACAGTGCCGTGGGAAGAAAGAAATAGCAGTTCTCTCTAGAAAATTAAAGAAATGGACATGTTGCAGACTTTTCCCTCAAGGCAAGGCCCTATAGATAGATCCGTGTAAGTGGAGTGACCAAGGAATAATAACATAAGCTTTTGTTTTTTCCACTACTATATATATTAAAGAATGTAAGCTGGACAATATATATTGTATATCCTATCAATTCGTTCCATTTTCATTATACTATTATTTTCAGAACCGGAATTCAGGTATATTACTAGCTTTTAGGCAGTGAATTTAATTGTAAGTGTGGGCATCGAGATACCCCAAAAGTGAATAACTGAATGCAAGCATCAATCACAATCAGATCAGACCGAAAAACAAAGAAGGGAAAAAAAAGGAGAAGAAAATTTGCCCGATTTTCGTTTGTAGTCAGTCGGTAACAACAAAAAAAGGCCTCTATCATGCATGTGAGTTTTTTTTTTTTATATTCAACGGTGGAAATTAACACTGTAACATCAGACCATACTTCTCATTTAAAGTTTGTACGTGATTCTCTAGAACATGGTTGGCTTACATGAGCGTACTTAATTAGAAGAAAAGACGTCTAAATTGGTTTGGACTTTGGAATACAACAATAACAATAACATCACAGGGACAGAATAAGTCTTGATAAACAAAACTTTAGTGGGTGGTGAGAAACAGAAAAGGAGAGGAAAGGGCAGAGTGATAAAAGGCACAAGATAAACTACAAAGGTTATATAGACTTTTAGGAGGAAAAGAATAGCATCACTCAGGGCCCAAGTTGGGTTGCACTTGAGATTTCAGATCAATTAATTAAAACAGATGATACTCCAGAGTGATCGCCTAAATCTACTTTTACAATCCAGAAAACTGGTACATATACATAAGGGTGTCGATTAGAATGGATTTTGGATTTGGTCCAATGTGAGTCCATTACAGATGGATCAGGTCTAATAATCCAGTCTAATGAATAATTTGGACCGGTCCAATTCAATGTTCGGACCATCCAATTTGTTTCAATTCAAGCCCGGTCCATTGATACCTATATTCTTATCGTATGTCAGTGGATCAGATATTGACTAAATCCAATATAAATTTATTGCAGACGGACCAGGTCCAATACAATCAAATAAATATTTTGGACTGGATTAATCTAATCCAATATGTCTTTTTGGTCCATCCAAATTGATTTTAAACTGAAGGGGGTCCAGTCTAAAACCGGTCCATTCACACCCTTACAGATACACTATATATGTTGATGGATAATACACACATACTAAAAATCGAACTGCATTTTGGCTTTTGTTCCATTGAATCCACATGGCGGCAAGGTGATATCTGCAAATAGGCATCCACAACAACAGCTCAAACTCCCTCTGAGAAATATACTGCAGTTTTGCTAGGTATACAAGAATCCAACAAGAGGAATATCTTTCAACTACAATTTTTCTATGAAGCTAAAAGGATTGTGGACATTATCACAGATTCACTTATTCCCTCTTAAAGTTGTAGCAAGTTCTGCCCAACTGTCAACAGTTATGTCGCTAAGTTTAAAACATTTGGGAGAAGCACATTGGATTATGGGCCAAATAAAAAGCAAATAGAGCAAATAGTGATCTCAGGATTTTAGAACAGTTCAATGCAGTAAGGGCCAAAAAGAACTTTATCATTCTCCCTCTATTCTTAGTCAAATCAACTAGGATGTTTTCTTGTTATTCTACACATTTGTTTTCTGTGACTAGAAATCTAGCATACTAGGTTTGTTATTTATCTCTATTTTCTCCACCCAAGTTTTGTTTCTAATGGACTTATTTCTTTATTGCTTTTTCATACACTAAATCAACAGATAGATTAAATCGACAATATCTATTCATTCATTACTCCTCATTCCTCAACTGGGCCTTTAATCTTTTAAAACCTTGGCCAAAACCGTTTTAGTGCCAGTTTTGGATGGCTGAAGTGCAGTGGCTTCTGTTTTTTCTGAGGTGGGCGGGCCTATATGGACGGGCTTTCAACTATGTTTGATGAAAAAAACAATCTGGAAAGCCCAAATTGACTGTCGGTCAGGCATTTTTTGGGTTATTAGCTTCAGCCTCTTTAAGACTTTAAATAACTTAATAGCTGAACTAATTTGGCTGAATCTTTCAGCTTAGTTCTCACAAAAAAGAAAAAAAAAATTCTGGTTCTTTAAAGTGTTGTTTTATCAATGGATCGTGATTTCTGTGCCATGTTTCTATTCCCGTTCCCCACTTGCCAAATTCAAACACAACCCGCGCGCACAACCGATCTTATATCAAGAATATCCCCGTACTTAAATGTTTTATTTCATGCGAGATATTCTCACTCAATGCAAGATTATAAAAACTGTTGGAATGGGCCTTGCACTGACTAAATCCGAGCGAGCTCATCTATCATATATGTGATCGAATTTGGACTTTGTACAGAGCGCTCCTCACACCGGCTGATCTATTATTAACTCTGGTACTTTTCTTCGGATTTCGGTGATTTATTTACATTATCAGACCGGATGTGGATCTGACCTCATCTGATCCGACCGAGTTCCGAATTTGATTAAACATATGAAGTTTTTAATTAGCAATTATAAAATTAATTAATTATTTTTTTTTTAATGTTTTCCTGGTTCTAAGATGAGATGACTCGGATTAAATGCGAATCCGACAGGATCCAAATCCAATCCAAAACCCCTACATCCGATTAGATTTAAGATCAGAACTGGATTTACTTGCATCTGATGACCCATGTCTCACATACAGCCCTAATCACCATAAGGTAAAGCCCAATTAATTTAAATCTTGGTAAGAACACACTACGCCCGATCAATTAACTGAAAGGAAAAGAAAGTTGAAACCTAATTGGACCATTACTATCATCCTAAGATTTAGAAATTTATGGTTTTAATAACTAATATGTTATTCAAGTTCTCCATTCTCTCTTTTTCTATACTCACACCAAGCAGGCTTTACATACGGAAAGATGGAGTTAATTACATGAATATAACCACTTGAATTCTATTGCTCCTTCATTGTGGCATGTTGCATCTCTACCTTGAGGACGTCATTGGCCCACTTGGAGAAGTAGGTCCTGTTGTAGCCGATCGGCCTTGTAGATGTTGAAGCAATGGCAATCAATCGCCCTTAAAACAGGGGGCGAATGCTCTGTGGAGATCTCTGCCATGCCAGATCCAGGTCTGCTACCGTAGAGAATGACGTCCTCTTCGGTTTTCCAAAACCGTTATTAACCTACAAGGCTACAAAGGCGTATATGTAACGGTGAACTTACAGAGGGAGCCATTTCTTAAACCGTTACTAACATAACAAATTAACTGAGAATTTTAAAAGCTACTACCGTTAGGAAAGGGGCAAAGAATCAGAGCCTAGACCAAAACGGAATGTGGACTTCAATCAAAAGAAAGGTAGGGCACACGTGCAAGAATTGGGAATCTTGGTAAGAACACAGTACGCCCGAATCCCGATCAATTAACTGAAAGAGAGTTGGCCCAATTAAACCGCTGAAACCTAGTTGGACCATAATTATCTGTCCTAAGATTTAGAAATTTATGGTTTCGATTGGGCTTCGGTTTTTGTTAGATATTGGGCTTAGAGTTGGGTTAGTTATTCGAATAAGTAATGTCTATCAATGAATCCAAATTTTAAGAGTCCAAGTCAGGCGGGTTGGCTGGGTTTAAGGTCATTCGATGCTCATTTCTAAGAATTGAGCCAAGGCCTGGGGCCCTGATTTTTTCGGGCCTGAACAGAATTGGGAATCTTAGACCCAATCATTAAAATGTTGCAATAACTGAGTGGAGTGCAGGCTAAAAATCCCTAACTTATTTTGTATCAATAATTTTAACCTTTAAATTGGAATTTTATATATTTTGTAACCCAGCTTCATTTTGGTTGTGGTGTTTGTTGTTTTTCCTCTATTTTTTTTTTTTTCTCTTTTCTTTCTCTAGACGGAATTCTGAAAGCTTTGTAATGTTGGTGTGTTTGATATCAATTTGTATAATTGTATTTGCCATGTTTAGGAAGTTCTCTGCTGCCTGGTGGTCTGGTGGTGGGCGTCTTTTACTCTTTTTGCTATGAGTGCTTCGTTTCCCGTTTGGGTTGGGGTGGGAGGCCTTGTTGTGTTTGGGCCAGGCCCATTGTGATTCATCTACAGGCTGAATTCATCTAGAGGCCTCGTCTCAGCTCAGAAATGATACGATGAAATTTTCATCAGTAGCGAGATTTGAAGTGAAACACTGTTTAATTTGCGTAATTGATTTTACAATCTTGACTCATCTGAGAGAGAGAGAGAGGTGAAGTATATGCAGCAAAACACCAGTAGTGTGTTAAAATTCTAACATTTGGTAAAGATGTATAAACTACAACCCAAAAGAAAGACCGATTACATCACTTCTTTTTATTTTTTTATTTTCGCACAAAGATTGGTCAAACCACTTACCTTGCAATAAACGCCTAAGCTGCTTCATTAACGAACCATATTTCTACTAACAACCTGTGGAGAGAATAGATGATTGAGTGATTGTAGTGCTTATTGTAATCCCCAGGGAAGGGCACGGCATACCATACCCGTTGAAGCCTTCACCGTGAGCAGACGTAAGACTACCGGCACTCACCGGCAGTGTCTCCGGGAGAGGAACATCTCCGTTCAAAAACTCCAATACTTGACGCATGGTCGGCCTAGCAGTTGGAATTGAATTACAACAAATGAGGCCAAGCTTCAACACCAAATCCATCTCCTCATCTACATAATCACCTCCCAAATTTGGATCTGCTGTCTCACAAATTGTCCCTCTCCTCCAAAACGACAGCACCCAATTAACCAAAATAAGATCTTCATCAGATTCTTGTGGTTCTATAGGTCTTTTTCCACAAGCCACTTCAAGCATAAAAGCACCAAAAGCAAATACATCTGTTCTTGGAGTCGGCTTACTAGTTCTAGTGATCTCTGGTGCAAGATAACCTAGTGTCCCCATCACATGTGTTGTTTGAGGATCGCTTCCGTGATCATATAACCTTGAGAGTCCGAAATCCCCTAACCTACCATTAAATTCTCTATCTAATAAGACATTGCTGGATTTTATATCTCTGTGAACAACAATCTGCTCCCAATCTTCATGCAGATAAAATAGTGCGGACGCTACCCCTTTGATGATTCGAAATCTTTGGTCCCAACTCAGTCTAGACTTTGTTTGGTCAAAGAGATACTTGTCTAAACTTCCATTCGGCATGTAATCGTAGACCAACAGAAGCTCTCCTTTACGCCGGCAATACCCCAAGAGTTGTACTAAGTTCCGGTGTCGCAATCGACCGATGGTAACAATCTCGGCAATGAATTCGCGCATTCCTTGCCTTGACTCATGGGATACTCTCTTCACTGCAACTTCTACTTTGGAAGTGGATAATATGCCTCTGTACACCGTACCGAAACCGCCCGTACCCAGGAGCTCCTTTTCCCTGAATCCCTTGGTAGCAATGTAAAGCTCCTTAAATTTGAACCTGTGAGGCCCATAGTCTAGTTCCCAATCTTCAAGTACTTCTGCAAATTTTCTCTTTCTCAAGATAAAAAGAATGCCGCCGATCACTGTGGACAACAAAACCGCGCCAGTCATGGGCAACCCAACCTTGACAAGCTTGGATTGTGGTTTGGGTCCTACCCGGGGAAGCTTTGGAAGTTGGGAAAGAGTGAGCTCTTGGGCTGGACCATTCATCCTAAAGCTCCACCCCAACACGTACTGTGGTGTTAGAGCTCTGCTATTAGACGCCGAGAATCCAACGTACATGCTGTCTTTCATCATCCGAGAAAGATTGTAAACCCAAGATAAGAGTGGAATGTCCGGTTTAGGCACATTAATCGGAGCTAATGTGACATTAATTCGAGAGTCGAAGCGATTATATTCGATCCACAGTTGCATTGCTTTCCCACTTTTGAGAGTTAGATTCTTAAGCCCACCATTTTCACCAGTAAAATAAGAAGCCGGTGCGGAATCAACTGATTTTACGCTGTTAATGTCAATACCTACATGATTATCATTGATGTCAGCCAATTCAACGTTCTCAATTGTATCGAGTTCAACTGCAACAATATGGTTGGACGGATTTCCATTGTTGGACTTGTTGAAGATGCCTAGATAGTGGTCTCCTAGAGATCCCGGGAACCCTCTTGAAGGTGCAATAAAAAAAGCTAATCCATGGCCGCCGATATCTGGGGCTCCGGGCTGGCTGAAGATGGCGAACACGAAAGTAGTTGAGAAGGATACCACTTCACCGTCCGACGGGTTCTTGAAGTGAAGTGGGTACGGATAGAAGGCATGACCTTTCTCATCTGAAGTGCTGTTGGTTATCATCAATAGTCCGTTTGGTGTGATCTGTGCCAAACCGTCCAGGCTCAAGTTAGCACCCCGGAAGCCATTGTAGGTGAAACCATCATCTTTAGAATCTGCAAACCAGACAAGGAAAAACAGAAACAGCTGCCCGAGCTTGACAACCATGGTCAGGTGCGTATTTGCTGCTTAACTTGATGAGGGCCTCAACAAATTAGTGCGTTTTTCTGTTAGAATGAGATTTTAATTTGTCTAATCGCAATCCATGAACCACCAAAAATAACGAGAAAAATGAGAAGGAAAACAAGAAATTAAAAGAAAATGAAAAGAAAAAGAAAAAGGTATCAAATAACCAAATCAAAATACCTCGTCTACGTTAATTACACTCGCAATGGTGATCCGAAGTGGGATCTGCGTCTACAGGATCTCACTAATTCAAGTCCGGTTTACTAATCTGATTAACTATTAAATGTATGATAGCTGTTAGTAATAATACGGGAGTCGTCTTTCTACCAAAAGGAAAAAAAAGTCTGATGATTAAATCAAGTCAACATTAGTCTTCCAAGAAAAAAAGGTGCATCCAGAACTTCAAGTAAATTTTTTATAAAAAAAATTAAGTTAAATGAATGGACCACATGTAATAGATTATACTTCGGGTAAGAATCTGATTTTCTTTTGTTTTTTGATGAAAGGTAAGAATCTGATAGATACAAGGCCCATTACCTTTTTTTTTTTTTTGGTAAAAGGTGGTTAACGATAAGATCAAACGGTAAAGCAGAAAAAGGTGGTTAATGATAAGATCAATATAGTTGAATAATTTAACGTGGAAGGCGGAAATGGATGCATCAACTGGGGACTCCCGGCCCGTAATATTGATCACGGAGAAGAAAGTAGATTTGATGGAAAAATCTATGATGCCAGAAAGAGATAATACCGATTGATTGGTTGTAGGTTTTTCCGGCATAGTTGGGTTTTACGAGCAGGTGCTACTGCATCGCTGAACGCTGACTGAGTGGATTCCGATCGAAGAAGTGAAAAGCTGGTTCTTACGCTCCTGAGGAATCCGTTGAATCTCTACCATAGAAGAAAGTAAACAAGATTTTGGATAGGAGATAATACGAGAAAACTTTCACAGACAAGATCTCTGGACGATGTTTCTGAAGGTCGTGTTACCACTGCTACTGTGCCCGTTTGTTTTTCTACTCATGTCCTCGGCGGCCATGGAAGATACCGGCTTTATCTATAATGGATTTCGAGGTGCCAAAGTTAGCCTGGATGGCGAAGCACAGATCATACCCAACGGGCTCTTGATGCTAACGAATCAATCTAAACGACAATTAGGCCATGCCTTCTATCCCTATCCGCTCCACTTCAAGAATCTACCGGACGGCAATGTTTTCACATTCTCTACCACTTTTGTATTTGGGATCCTCCCCAAGTACCAAAATTTTTATGGTCATGGAATTGCTTTCGTGATCACACCTTCAAGAGCGCTACCCGGAGCTCGACCGACCCAGTATCTAGGCATCTTCAATGAATCCAACAACGGTAATCAGTCCAATCATGTTGTTGCAGTAGAGCTCGACACCATCAAGAACAGTGAGTTCTCAGATATCAATGACRACCATGTYGGTATCGATATTAACGGCTTGACGTCTGTTTCTTTTGCCCAAGTATCGTATGCTATCGATCAAAGTGATAACCGTAAGAATCTAAGCCTCGTAAGTGGGAAACCAATTCAAGTATGGATAGAATACAATGGCGTAGAAGGACAGATGAATGTAACGTTGGCTCCAATTGATGTTCCTAAACCCCACATCCCCCTTCTTTCCTATTCCCGCAATCTTTCTCCGTTCATGGAGGATTCCATGTACGTTGGCTTCTCATCATCGACGGGCTCCTTTTCTACTTCCCATTACGTGTTGGGATGGAGCTTTAAGATGAATGGACCTGCTAAAGAGCTCACCATCTCCCAACTTCCTAAGCTACCTCGACTAGGGCCAAAAAAGCAATCCAAATTTGTGACGTTGGGATTGCCCCTTATTGGCCTAGTTTTAGCGTCCACAGTACTCACCATCATCCTCTTCATCGTGAGAAGGAAGAGAAGGTTCGCTGAAGTTGTGGAAAATTGGGAACTAGACTATGGGCCTCAGAGGTTCAAATACAAAGATCTTTACACCGCCACCAAGGGATTTAGGGACAAGGAGCTTCTGGGTATAGGCGGTTTTGGTAGGGTTTATAGAGGTGTGTTACCCACCTCCAAAACCCAAGTAGCAGTGAAAAGAGTACGTCATGAATCTAGACAAGGATTAAAGGAATTTGTCGCTGAGATTGTAAGCATGGGTCGGCTGCGGCACCGAAACTTGGTACAGCTCTTGGGCTATTGCCGGCGTGAAAGAGAGCTTCTGTTGGTGTATGATTACATGCCCAATGGAAGTCTAGATAAGTTCATCTTCAGCCAACCAAAGGTCACATTGAATTGGAGTCAAAGATTTCGAGTCATCAAAGGAGTAGCTTCTGGGCTATTTTATCTGCACGAAGGATGGGAACAGGTGGTTGTTCACAGAGATGTCAAGTCCAGCAATGTGTTATTAGATAGTGAATTTAATGGAAGGTTAGGAGATTTTGGCCTATCAAGATTATATGACCGTGGAACCGATCCCAAAACCACCCATGTGGTAGGAACGCTTGGTTACATTGCGCCAGAGATTACTACAACCAGAAAGGCATCACCGAGCACAGATGTTTTCAGTTTTGGGGCCTTTATGCTTGAAGTGGCATGTGGGAGAAGGCCGATAGACCCACAAGCGTCATCGGAAGAGAATGTAATTTTGTTGGATCGGGTGTTCTCTTGTTGGAGTAGAGGTAAGATTCTGGAGACAGTGGATCCAAATCTGGGTAGTGATTATAGAGTTGAGGAAATGGATTTGGTATTGAAGCTTGGCCTGCTTTGCTCTCACTCTATTCCGACTGCTAGGCCGACCATGCGGCAGGTGGTGCTGTTTTTGGTCGGTGATATCCCTCTACCAGAATCATCTTTGCATGGTCTCAGTGAAAGTGGTCTAGCATTTGCACATCATGATGAAGGCTTCGATAAGTTTGCCACGTGGCAACCTTCTTCCTCTCTAGAAAAGACATCGACTACACAACTATCGTTAGTTACAGACTCCCTCCTCTCAACCGGCCGTTGAACTTTATTTATTTGTTGGATTAGAAAACTTGTAGTTTGAAGGATGCTAGACATGCTGGAAAAAGGAAAGAAAAACAAAAGATATGCATTTTACATGTCCGGTTGTTGATTTTTCAATAAAAACGACTTCAAAATGCTTCACGAAATCTTTTATATATAGGACCATGATCACAGTGGAAATGCTAAGAGATCAACAGTTTAATGTGCACAACTTTGAAATAAGCTTATCTTCTATTGGTATTTTCTAACTTTTCTCAATTTTTTCATTTGTCTTTTGGAACTTTTTGAGTTTTCAATGTTTTCAGTGGAATTTGTTTCATGAGATCTTTACCACGGGATGGGGGACTGAATTAGAGAACTAGCTCAGCTCCAACCATTTAAGTTGATTGTTATGATTTCTATGTAATGTTATGTGCTGATTCTGAGATTAGTCCCACAGCCTGTAAAACATGCAGCTATCGTGTTCAGCTAATGTGAGGTAATCGATCATCAAATAATTTATCAGTTATACTTTTGTCCAAGAACTTAACAGTCTCCTCTCATGAGGGAGAGGGAGCATTTTGTCAATTGCAAATCGAAATCTAGCAGCCATGCCTAGGTGGGTGTGGAGCAAACTGATTCGTCCTAGCCCATAAAAACAGCTATAATATGAGGTAATCACTAAATTATTTATCAGTTGCTTTCTATATTCTTGTCCAAAACTTCAATACAGTCTCCTCTCGTGAGCATTTTGTCAATCGCCCATTGGAACCTAGCTGTGTGAAGCAAAATGATTGGTCCTACAGCCGGTAAAGCAGCTAACATATGAGGTAATCATTGAATTATTTATCAGTTGTTTTCCATCTTTTTTGTTCCAAAATTCAAGTCTCCTCTCATGCATGATGGAGAGGGAGCATTTTGTCAATTGGCAATTGGAATCTAGCACCCATGCTTTTCTGGTGTGACCAAAATGATTCGTATAATCTGAGGTCATCCCCGAATTATTTATCAGTTGCTTTCTATTTTTGTCCAAAAATATATAAGTGTCCAGGGAACATTTTGTCAATCACAGAATAGGAATCTTAGCACCCATGAATGAGAGAGAGAGAGAGAGAGAGCGCATTGCAGCCGCACATCTCACAATCAATATATCATAGCTAGTGCCACAAATGACATCTGTTCATTTGAATTTGATTCATTATATAAGGGTGATCCGATTTGGATCCATATATGCACCCACTTAAATTTATATTGTGTTTTCACTATAGTGTGTTATTCGTTCAAATTCCAAAATATTTATTTTTAGGGATGACAGTCTGACAGGTATCAACCTCTACACATCCAGAGGAGACAGGTTTTTTTTTTTTTTTTTTTTGAAAAACGACTTTTCTAACTAGTAAGGACAAATTTTGTCATTTTACAACCTATACATTAATACAAATGCAAATGAAAGGAATGAAAATTCTAATTTAATTTTATTTTAGGTTTTATTTTATTTTGCTTTAAGTCTTATTTTACTTCATTTGTATTTCAATAGAACAAAATATGGTAAATTTTGAAATAAAAATAAATCAGAATTTGCACCCAAATCATTTGCACTACTATAATTTTGTATCGGTACTACAAATAAATTTGCATTGCAACCAAATGCAGCTTTAATATCACAAAATTATCTATTAAATATGAGAGTTAACACCAAAGTCATTTCATTGCACATCTTCTCCCTCTCCCCGCATTAAGTTTCTTCCCACAAATTTTCATATTTCCTTTCTCTCCAAGATAATTTTGACTTTTGAGCTTCTCCAGCAACACTTTCCTCCAAAGAAAACCTCCAATGAGATCATGCCAAGATAATTGAATTCCGAGAGGAATTCAACTAAGCTAAAATCTGGTAGTGCTTTTTTTGAACTAACTATTTGTTTGTTCAAGTGAAGAATCGTTTAAGACAAGCAATGGATTCCTTAGAGAACATGCAGGAAGAATGGTGGGTGTCCTAAAGAATTCTATACCTATCACATTTCATTCACTCATTCTTCCGTCTCTTGATAGCATCCATTTCCCATTAACTACTTTTTTTTCTTCGTTCAAAACCTATGTAAAAGGTGGCTACACATCTTCATAGACTGTAAATTCAACGGAAATTTCTTTGTAATGGGTAAGCACAAATGTGAATTTCTTTTCTACCTTCCATCATATATTGAACATGATCTCTAGTCAACCAGTCTGTGTTAAGAATAAGAATATAAAAGATTATTCAGGGACTTTATCTAACAGCTTAAGCTTTAAGAACGAATTGTTCCTTGAAATGGTATCACAGCCTGTTTGACTAAGTGGTCTAGTATTTCGTTGCCTCCATTATAATTCATTAAATTTTAACACAAGGTGTACATGGGCTTGTGCTTGTTCACACTTTAAGTCCAATAGGCTTTTGGGTGTATTAAAGAATGAAAGCCTATTCAGATATTCAGAGATCTCACCTAATAGCTTAAGCATTTAGGTTGAATACTTCATTGAGAGTCTAGGATGATTTGTCAACTTTTCTTATTTTCCTTCTTTCATCTTCATTTTTATGGAAATTTCTTCTATCAATGTATTGTTGGGTTCAATTGCATGTCATGTCCCTCTGTGACTTAGTTGGAAAGCAAAGTCAAGGATTGACTTGGAGCAAGCAAACAAATTCAACCGTGCAAGCTTCATAAATGGTAAATTCAATGGAAGTTACTTTGTAATGGGTAAATGAAGATGCCAATTTCTCTTATACCTTCCATCGTTGAGCCCAAACTGATGTCAAAAACTAAATTTGTCATGGATTTACTCGCTAATGGACATATATTTGAGTGTTCAATTCTCTTTCGAGTGTAATATTTTTTTTCATAGATGGACAATTTTAATTGCAAAGAGTTATAAATAATAGAAAGAAAATCTAAAATGCCTTTACATTATCACATCACCTTTTTATGATCTGGTTGTGTCAATTAATGTACATTCAAAAGAAAGTACTGACAAGCCAAACTTTAATGGGGTATCATCTCTAGGCTAGTGAGGAGAGGATTCGGAGTGACTTTATGAGTGGGTGGGGACTGGGGAGTAGGGGAGAGAAAAGTGCAGATTCAAAAGCGGACAAAGATAAATCACAGACAGGAGTTAGACCTGTAGGAGAAAATTAAGGAAAAGTTGTTAACGGAGATGGGGAATTAGAAATTTTTTTGATTAAGCAGAACCTTTGTAAGCATGTTAAATGAGTACTTACAATTTTTTATTGACACTTGTCCTTTAAAATACCTTCGATCTATCCTCGGAAAAGATTAATATCTACTTTTGACAGTTGTCAAAATATTTATCAAGTGCTCATTTAACATACTTACTTTGTTGTATGTTTTTTAAAAACAAACCGGAAATAGAACCAGTTAGGGGACTGGTTTCCGGTTAAACGGTTCAACTGTCTGGGTCGAATGGTTTGACCCGTGACATAAAAAATAAATTAATAATAAAAAAATAGCATAAAATTAAATAAAAAACATAAAAAAATTACAGAAAATAAAACTATCTAAATAAAAAATAATACAGTACAAAACACATAGAAAATATAAAAATAAAATAGAGAAAAATTCTAAAAAATACAGAAAAATAAAACAGAAAATTGCAAAAAATACAGAAAAAACTCTAGAATGTTAAATCCTAAAATGAAAAAATCCTTAACCTAAAATCAAGATTCACAGGGATAGATTCCCTTGGCACCAAAATAAAAGGGGAGAAATAGGAGCATTCACTCTAGAATGTTAGATTGCTATGCAACCAAGATTGATCTCTAAAAGACATCAATATACATTAATTTTACCTAATTGATCAGAAAAATTACATTAATTTGTACCTAAGCACCATGCCAAATGCTGCTCCCTAAGCTTCAACCAAGCAAAAACTTCAAAACTCTGTTTTTTCTTCAATTTCTAAAATTTCTTTAGAACTGCTCCTAGGTGTCAAAACACTCATAATCAATCTCCAAATCTTTAGAACTGCCTGCCGCTGCAAACTCCCCTACTGCAAAGCCTGGAAGTGCTGCAAATTGCAAAAAACGCTAGCCGCCATTGCAAATTCACCACCACCAGTCGTCGTTAATTGCCATGGGTCGGTGTGTGTCGTCGTCGATCGCTTGAGATGCTGGCTGCTGCAGGTGATTGGTTGGGTGTGAGGGATGGCCGCTGCTGCAAATTCACCTGTCACAAGCCTAGAAATGCTGCAAATTGGAAAAACACTGGCCACTACTGCAAACTCGTTGTCACCGGTCGCCATTAATCGCCGTCGGTTGGTGTGTGTTGCTGTCGAACGCCAGAGGTGCTAGCCGCCATAGGTGGTCGGTTGGGTGTGAGGGCTGAGAGGAGGGAAGAACGAAAATGGAGTTCTAACCCTACATTCAATTAATCGATTTGGGATGGGGATATTAAAGTAACTTTATTTTTTGTTTTTTATTTTATGTAAAACTGTGAAAATAAAAAAGAGAACCCATGAACCACTGCCCGGGTCGAACGATTTAGCGGTCCAATTGCCCGGGTCAGAGGCTTTCTAACTTTTTCAACATTTTTTAGAGATTTCCAATTTTTAGTATAATCGGACCCAGGGGCCTGACCGGTTACCGATTTTTCCAGTCCAACAATCCGGTCCATTCCGGTTTTGAAAACCATGCTTTGTTGTGCTTACTAGATCCGGTTTCTATAGGTGGGTGCTTTGTTTTCAGTTTGTTTTTTCTGTTCTTTTTTTTTTTTTTGTCTGTTGTCTTCTCCCATATGGTTCGTTTTCTTGAAGTAATGAAGCTCTTTTATCAAAAAAAAAAAAAATCCATGTGGTGATGGATTACCGGCTTACTGTTATTAAATCTAGCAATGGTCTGATTTCTTTCCGTTTTATTTTTATTTTTTTTGTTTTTTAGTAGTCTTTATCCCTTGTGCTAGGCAATGTCTTTAAAAACCACCGGAAAATGAATTTTTTTTTTTCTTTTCAGGTGTGGCAGATCAATACTTTAACCATTGGGGTTAAATGGATTAATCATTATATTATAAATTAAACATATTTTTAACAATTACAAAATTTGTTAAAGAAATTGAACATATCTTATGATAAATGAGAACAACTGTTATTACTTATGAAAATGGCTAAAATTATAAAATAAAGAAAATAAATAACTGGGTCAAACAATTAAGATATTCAACCTGGCAGATCACTGGATCGTTGATTGAGGCAGTGATTTTTTGCAATTGAGCAGTTCAGGATAAAATACACCTAGAAATCTGGTCAGGTGACGGATCAATTGATCCAACCGACCGATTCATCCATGGATTGAAAGACCGGAGTGATAACTTTTTCTTATTTGCGGGAAAATAGATGATATTGAAATCTATTGTTTTCTGCTTTCCCCTTGTACTTTAATTTATGTTGTCAAAGAAGCTTTGTTTCGAAGTGTCTAAGTTCTATAGAAGATTTTGGTGGAGTGGCTCAAAGAAAAGTTTTAAAATAAATTGGGTTAATTAGGGTCAAATTTGCAAAAGTAAGAATGCTGAGGGTATTAGCTTTAGGGATCCCTGTTTCTTCAGTAACGCCCTCTAGGGTTCCTCTTCTCCAAGGAGTCATGGGATCGATCAGCATAATCTTTTTATTTGGAGGGGTTGTTTCAAGTTCAGGTGCATATTGGGCTGTAAAATTAAAATCTAGGACGACCCTTGAGTCCTTGAACCTTGGTTGCCGGAGTTAGAAAACTCTAGGCGCATTAAGCCCAGCCCAAATCTTAAATGGTACTTTCATGGTCATGGTCAAATTCGATCTAATTAAGAACAAATTTATTTAAAAGTGGAGAGGCCTCTAATACCTAGGGTGTTAATCATGGGCCTTTATTAAGTAAATGCTATCACATAGGTGCCCCATCAGCAAAGGTCTCATTATATACATCTGTATTGATTTTCATTTTGAAGCCCAACGGGTAGGCGCTTATTGGCAGGTCTGGATGTAATAGGCACGTTAAGTAAGTACAATGAGTGAACACGTACTAGCTGTGTGACACATGTCCCAGTTAATGCACTTTTCATCCAAACGTTTTTACTCTGTTAGATAAAAATTATCCATTATTTAATTATCTTTGTCAAAATAATTAAAAATAAAAACAATGAAAAATAAAAACCTAAACATGTTGGGAGTTGGGACTCATTTACATTTTCTTTTTTCATTGTTTTTTATTTTTAATTATTTTGACAAAAATAATAGAATAATAGATAATTTCTGTCTAATGGAACAATTGCAAAGAAATGACGCTTATGTGTCATAAATGCCCTTAATAATTGTTTTTCTCGATTTTACAACCACACAAGTACAAAAATCAAACACATACCCCATCTACCCTATTTGTGAACAGAAACCTAAAACCCTCCGTCAAGCATTCCCTCTTCAATTCTCCAGCGACCATATAAGAATTGTGTTGTTTGAGGGAAGGCTTGGCATTAATTTGTCCCAACCCAGTGCAATTTTGCTGATTGGTGGGGCTCCTGTTTGGATTTCTTTGCAAATATAACGTGATTTTTTTTTTCTTGAATATATAACAACAGGAGAGAGAGAGAGAGAGAGAGAGAGAGAGAGGAGGGAGAGGGAATATCCATATGTTTGGAAGCGTGTAGCATTTTTTCAATAAATACTGTCAGCACCACTAAAACATTTATCCTTTCACGTTCTTTCGTATGCATCGAGATAATAAAAGATGAATTTGATTTTTGTGCACATTTACTATTTGGAAAAGTTTTTTTTTTAGTTTTCTTAGGCATTTTTTCACTATTAAGCTAATGTCACGTCTAATGACGCTAATTGTTATAAATAATTACAATTATTATTTTTTCTCAATTTTAAAAGCAAATAAATTACAAAAGTTGAATGAAAAACGCTCACAATTCCAAAGACATACAGAATTCGTTGAGCGATAACTTACACCACTTTTTTTAGGGAAAAGTACGAAAACACACGAAACACACGATGCAGAATTCTGAATTCCAGCCCCCCCTACAACTAGCCCTCTCTCCCCCAATAAACCACATCCTATCCGTGAATTTAACATCAATTCACGGTCAGGATGCATTCCCCCTGTACTTTGCGCCTAGTAAATTCTGATCTGGGCTCATTGATACTTCTCCCCTTTTTTTATTTTCATTTTCCACAAGAGAACACGCCAAACAGAGCGTGTCAATCAGAGTATATAACAAATCACGAGGGAACACGCCAGGGTCCACACTGGCATATTCACTCGTGATTGTTAGGTAGTTGTAGCTCTGTTCCCTCGCAGCAGCAGATTGCAGATGCCCGTTCGTTTCGTTAACCAAAAACAGATTTGAGATTTCTACCAAGGACTAGTTGTAGACAGTAGAGACTCTGCCATCGATGATCGAGATATTGAATTCCCCAGTCGGCACAACAAACTACGCCTGTTGAATCCTTCATGGTGTGCAATTGAAAGACCACTGGCACTAACAAACAATGGATCGGGGAGAGCAGTATCTCCGTTCAAAAACTCCAGTACTTGTCGCATCGTCGGTCTAGCACTTGGAATTGAATTACAACAAACAAGCCCAAGTTTCAATACCAAATCCATTTCCTCAACTTCATAATCACCTCGCAAATTTGGATCTGCTGTCTCGACAATTGCCCCTCTGTTCCATGACGAAAACACCCAATCAACCAAAATAAGCTCCTCACCCGATGCCTGTGGTTCTACAGGCCTTTTTCCACAGGCCACCTCAAGCATAAAAGCACCGAAAGCGAATACATCTGTTCTTGGAGTCGGCTTACTAGTTCTAGTGATCTCTGGTGCAAGATAACCTAGCGTCCCCATCAGATGTGTTGTTTGAGGATCTGTTCCGTGATCATATAGCCTTGAGAGTCCAAAATCCCCCAATCTACCATTAAATTCTCTATCTAATAAGACATTGCTGGCCTTTACGTCTCTGTGAACAACGATCTGCTCCCAATCCTCGTGCAGATAAAATAGGGCGGACGCTACATCTTTGGTGATTCGAAATCTTTGGTCCCAACTCAGTCTAGACTTTGGTTGGTCGAAGAGATACTTGTCTAGACTTCCATTCGGCATGTAATCGTACACCAACAAAAGCTCTCCTTTACGCCGGCAATAGCCCAAAAGTTGTACTAAGTTCCGGTGCCGCAGTCGACCGATGGTAACAATCTCGGCAACGAATTCGCGCATTCCTTGTCTTGATTCATGCGACACTCTCTTTACTGCAACTTGGAGTTTGGAGGTGGGTAGTGTGCCTCTGTACACCCTACCGAAACCACCTATACCCAGAAGCTCCTGTTCTCTGAATCCTTTGGTGGCAATGTAAAGATCCTTAAATTTGAACCTGTGAGGCCCATATTCTAGTTCCCAATCTTCAAGCACTTGTGCAAATTTTCTCCTCCTCAAGATAAAAAGAGTGCCGGCCATCACCGTGGACATTAACACCAGGCCAATGATGGGCAACCCCACTGTAACAATCTTGGACTGCTTTTGGGGTCCTACTCGGGGAAGCTTAGGAAGTTGGGAGAGTGTGAGGTTTTTCGCTGGACCATTCATCTTAAAGCTCCACCCCAACACGTATTGTGGTGTTAGAGTTGGGCTGGTAGACGCTGAGAAGCCAACATACATGGTGTCTTTCATGATAGAAGAAAGATTGTAATGCAAGGATAAGAGTGGGATATCCGGTTTGGGCACTTTAATCGGAGCTAATGTGACATTTATTCGAGTGTCCAAGTGATTATATTCGATCCACAGTTGCATTGCTTTCCCACTTTTGAGAGTTAGGTTCTTATACCCACCATTTTGATCAGTAAAATAAGACGCCGGTGCAGAAACAGCAGATTTTAAGTTGTTGATGTCAATACCTACATGGTTTTCATTGATATCGGCAAATTCCATGTTCTGGATTGTGTCGAGTTCAACTGCAAAAACATGGTTGGACAAATTTCCGTTGCTGGACCTGTTGAAAATGCCCAAGTATTGGTCGGGTAGGGATCCCGGGAGCCCTCTTGAAGGTGCGATGACAAAAACTAATCCATGGCCGGCTATATCTGGGACTCCGGGCTGGGTGAAGAGGGCGAACACGAAAGTGGTAGAGAAGGAGACCACTTCACCGTCCGATGAGTTCGTGAAGTGGAGTGGGTGCGGGTAGAAGGCATGACCTGACTGTTGTGCAGTGCGGTTGGTCACCATCAATAGGCCGTCTGGTGTGATCTGTGCCAGACCGTCCAGGCTGAAGTTAGCACCCCGGAAGCCATTGTAGGTGAAACCAGCATCTTCAGAGACTGCAAACCATACATGTAGAAGTAGAACCAGACACAACTGTGCGAGCTCGACAAACATGGTAAAGTGCTTCTTTCTTGCTGCTTTGCTGACGAGGGTTTGGGAATACGTTTTTCTTCTGTTCGATACCTTTAGATTTTGAACTGCGTACCAAAGAATAGCTTGAGAATTTGTTTAATGGCAATCCATTTGGCACCGAAATAACGTGAAAAATGAAAAGAACTAAAAACAAGATAAAAGAGAAAGGAAAAGGAAAAGGGGTCGATCAAAACGAAAAATGAAAACATCTCGCCCATATGGGTCATCCGAACGTCTAGTTTACAGCAGATCCAGAGTCCATGGGAGTCTCACTCTGCAGCTTACAGGACCTTGATCCCGCACCCCTCCATAATCGGAGAGACGCCGGTCATCCGAGCCGTGCGTAACAGGCTACAGAATTCAGAATAAAACCCGATAACAGGCTACAAAATAGAAATTAAAACTCATGAGTTAGGAAAGGAAACCAGCAACTGCCATGTTTTCCTTCGAGTAGGTTCTCTAAACTTCTGTACACGTCTTGGCTGTACAGACTACAGACTCCAGAGTCCACAGAAAAGGATTCTTGACCCCCAGTCAAGCCAACAGTTCAGTAAAAACAGATATTTTAAGTTGAGCTTCTGTTCTCCTTTCACCAAAACGGTTAGTCAAAGTTGGCGGCCTACTAGTGGAATTAGGTTTAACCAGTCAAATAATTAGTGAGCTTCTCTTGACCTAATTTGAATAATGAAAAAAATAAAATAATCTGGTACACTACAAGGTGAGCACATAGAGATCATATCTGCTTACCTTTCAATGAAATGCGAACATATACTAGTATAAAAAAGCAAAACCCACTCAGGAGTCAGGATATATGAATATTTAATCAATTTCTCCTGATTCAATTTTGTAACTTGTTTTACACGTTCACTTTTGTAACAAACCAAAATACCAACTCATGGTGCACGGGTTCTTGTAAGCTTTTCTGGCAAAAAAAAAAAAATCTATGACAAGTGTCCCACACATTTGAGTTGATTCCAAAATATCATGTGATGATGTGAATACATAATAATGTCTTCCTGTCTTTTGGGTTGCTCTCTCTGTTTTAATGGTGAGTTTTGCCTTATTGGATAATTGGATCCTTGTACCCTGCAAGGCTGTTTAAACATGTGGAGGTGGGGTCTGTAATTAATGAGGCCTTTGAGACCAAAAAGTTTTCAGAAAAAAAAAAAAAAACAATTTTATCTCTCCTTTTCAAAATTCCAAAGGAAAAAGTATCAGCCCACCTCCACATGTTGCTGATTTGTACTTCTCCCAACTCCAAAACTTAAAAAACTCTGCACAGCCTTTCTTCCTCCCCAGGGTCCCTTCCCCTTTCCTCTCCACTGGCTCAATTACAGTTTACCAGCACATTGAAGATTAGCAAACAGATTCACACAAACAGCCCAAAGCCTCTCTCCCTCTCTCTCTCTCTCTCTCTCTTGTCAGCCAGGTTTTGTATTGTCTACCCCCAGACCCAGAAAGTATAAACAGAAGTAGGGGGAAACGTGGTTTCAATTGTTCAATTGTTCTGGCCATGCTAAGAAGAATAAGGATCATCATATCTCTGGCTTAATGCAATTCTCCCGCATAGAAATTTAATTTATGAATATAGGAGCACACGTACATGGCTAAAAGCACACAACCAATTAGTATGATCTTAATTCTTCGATCGGTCATCTGCTGAACTAGATGTCGATCCTATTTGTGAAGCTGGAGCTGCCGCTGCTGTTGCTTCTATGCCCGTTTCTTCCTCTGCTTGTGACGTTGGCGGCCTCAGAAGATGCTGATTTTACCTTTAATGGCTTCCAAGGTTCCAATATTAGCGTGGACGGTCTAGCAGAGATTACACCCGACGGCCTCTTGAAGCTAACCCCCCAATCTAGACAAGTGATGGGCCATGCCTTCTATCCCTTCCCGCTCCGCTTCAAGAACACATCGGACGGTACCATTCTTACTTTCTCTACCACTTTCGTTTTCGGTATACACTCTCCGTTCCCAAATGTAAGCGGTAATGGGATTGCTTTCGTTATCACACCTTCAAGAAACTTATCAGGAGCTCTACCCAATCAATATCTAGGCCTCTTCAACGAATCCACCAACGGTAATCCGTCTAATCATATTGTCGTGGTTGAGCTCGACACTGTCAAGAACGAAGCTGTATCTGATATCGATAACAACCATGTTGGTATCGACATTAACGACATAAAGTCTGTCGTTTCCCTTCCGGCGTCTTATTTTACCCCTCAAAATGGTGGGTATAAGAACTTAAGCCTCGTAAGTGGGAAAGCAATGCAAGTGTGGATCGAATACAATGGATTACAGAGGCAAATGAATGTAACGATAGCTCCGATTGATGTCCCTAAACCAGATAAACCACTCTTGTCGTTGAGTTACAATCTCTCTTCAGTCATGGAAGACCTCATGTACGTTGGCTTCTCCTCATCGACGGGCACCTTTTCTACATCCCATTACGTGTTGGGATGGAGCTTTAAGGTGAACGGGCCTGCTAAAAATCTCACCATCTCCCAACTTCCAAAGTTACCTCGAGTAGGACCCAAAGAGCACCCCAAAATTTTGACGGTGGGATTGCCAATTATCACTCTGGTTTTAGCTTCCACGGTGGTCTTCATTGTCTTTTTCATTGTGAGAACGAAGAGAAAGTTCGCTGAATTAGTTGAAGATTGGGAATTAGACTATGGGCCTCAAAGGTTCAAGTACAAAGATCTTTATATCGCCACCAAGGGATTTAGGGACAGGGAGCTTCTGGGTATCGGCGGATTCGGTAGGGTCTATAGAGGTGTGCTACCCACCTCAAAAATGGAAGTTGCAGTGAAGAGAGTCTCTCATGAATCTAGACAAGGAGTTAGAGAATTCGTTGCGGAGATTGTTAGCATGGGTCGGCTGCGTCACAGGAACTTGGTACAGCTCTTGGGCTATTGCCGGCGTAAAGGAGAGCTCTTACTGGTGTACGATTATATGCCAAATGGAAGTCTAGACAAGTTGCTCTTCAACCAACCAGGTCCAGAAACCACACTGAATTGGGGTCAAAGATTTCGAATCATCAAAGGAGTAGCGTCCGCGTTATTTTATCTGCACCAAGGATGGGAGCAGGTGGTTGTTCACAGAGATGTCAAGTCCAGCAATGTGTTGTTAGACAATGAATTTAATGGAAGGTTGGGAGATTTTGGGCTGGCAAGACTATACGATCGTGGAACCGATCCCAAAACTACCCGTGTGATAGGGACGCTAGGTTACCTTGCACCAGAGATTACTAAAACCAGCAAGGCATCACCGAGTACAGATGTTTTCAGTTTCGGGGCTTTTATGCTTGAAGTGGCTTGTGGGAGAAGGCCGATCGATCCACGAGCACCAGAGGAGGATGAAATTTTAGTGGATTGGGTATTCTCATGTTGGAGTAGAGGGAATATTCTTGAGACGGTGGATCCCAATCTGGGTAGTGATTTTGTAGGTGAGGAAATGGAGTTGGTATTGAAACTCGGTTTGCTATGCAGTCATTCCATTCCAAGTGACAGGCCGACGATGCGGCATGTAGTGAGGTATTTGGCCGGGGATGCCCTTCTACCAGACTCATCTTTGCATGAGCTCACTGCAAGTGGTCTTCCATTTGCACACGGTGAAGGCTTCAGCAACTATGCCTCCTCCTATCTGTCTTACTCCCTAGAAAAGACATCCACCACTCAAGTATCGTTAATTGAAGACTGCCTTCTCTCTACCGGCCGTTAAATTTAATTTCTTGCATATATTGATCTGTAAGTTGAGTGATAATTAAACTGATAACATTGTCTGATCATTGAGGAATTAATGTAAGCATCTGATCAATAAAAGCATTTCTCATTAATTGTTCCATTCTCTCTGTATATCAAAGTGACAAAGTTGTAAGGGTACTTGGTCAAAATTAATTTTGATGGGGCTTGTAACTTGTCCTCTCCTCTGGAGAAGCTGGGGCCTGCAGAGACTCTGCTGGAGCCTTTTGCTTTGCAAGGGCAATTAATTTGAACCTCTGGAGTTAGAAGCTCAAGCGGCATCATAGGCCCTCTTGTTTGCTCAAGGGTTGGGCCTCTCACATTTTATTTTAGAGGGAGACTCGCTCCTTATTGATAGATGTCTGTTGAACGAACCCTGATACTCCTCCGAAGATCAGACACTTTATTGCATATTGCAGACACGTTTTGTCAAGTCTCCCTCATTGGTCGGTCCGGTTGGTTGTTCCTTGCTCGTTCTACTAATCAGGCAGCACATGTTCTGACCAAAGGAGCACTTTACATAACCCTTTTTTACCTAAAAAAAAGTGACAAAGTTGTTTTATAAAAAAAAATAAATAAATAAATAGAGGTACAATTTATGAATTCCCTCTGTATTAAGGGTTGTTGGGTTTTTGGAGAAATTTAACTGAGCCAATAGCCTATCCTCACTCTGTGTCATTGAATATTTTATTGAGATAAGCGAAATGCGAATGTTAGATATCACTTGAATACAAAGCAAGTGACGTACGATTGGTTTGGTAAAAGAGCATCTGATGATGCCAGATATATTAATCACTTCATTTTCTTGCACTTGGACGCATCCAAACCCAGGAATTTTGATCCACGGCCAACCATCGAGCCTCTGACACGAAAAAAGATTGAAAGGAAAGAAATAAGTGGTGGGACCTGCCACAAGATAGAAAGAAAGTGAGTGGACGATTTTGATCCAGAACTTTGTTCTTTCAACTTTGAATTTAATAATTGCCATATTTCTTTTTTTGCGGCACCGACGACTAAACAGACGAAGTGAAGATAGAAATGAGTGGACGAGTACAAAAGTGGGGGGCATGGTCACTTGTTAAAATGTAAAGATGGTTATTATGTAAGTTTGGTATCGAATCCTTTGCTTTAGAAAATGACTCCACATAATTGTTATAATTAGAGAAAGTCGTGTTTCAAAAAATGTCATTGTTTCATATCATCTTTTAAAAAATATGTGACGTCATCTTGAACGTTAGATAATATAGAATTATAGATTAATATTGAAAATGTTACTGCAAGTGTTAATACCAAACAAAACTGATATTATTTTCTTATAAAGCACAGAACCGATTTTGAACGAAAAATATACACCATTTTTATTTTTATGAAAAAACAGTGCAATATTCCCAGCACTATGCCAAACACATATTATGTAGTTTTAGACTTCCAGCCCCTCTATATCGCCGGTGTGCGGTCTCGACAATGATAAACGTACGCAGCCTTATCAGTATGCAAATCTATATAGTTTATGAGAAAATTATTATTATTATATAAAATGAATGGACCATTTTTTATCCGTCAATCTCAGTGGACGGGTTCAACAAGTTTCAAATAAAATGTTGGCCATTAAATTTTCTCTTCAAAGCCATTAAGAAACGCCAAAAAATAAAAAAATCAAAAAAGCTATGAAGAAACCGTAGACAAAAGTTCTCAAATGATGAACAAAAATGGTGCAAAAAGATGTGTCTAATAGGCCGTTACAACTAGCTAGATAAAAACCATTGAACTAGAATGAAAACATCATTCTAATACTCGTGGCTACCACTTTTTATAAGGGTGATCATTATTAACCTGGTCCGAAAACCCAGCTTCGCCTACAATTATATATGAGAATATCATTATCAAATATATAAATATAATATCAGATTTTATATGTAAGTTTATGGGCCAGAAAGCCAATCCCGCTCCATTATTATTTTTCAGCTTTTGCCAGTAAAAACAACCTTGAGTAATCCATTGCTAGGGTTGTGTTTGTTTGCAGTGCAAAGGGTTGTGCAAATGGGCTGAGTGAATATTAATATGGGCCAAGTATAAATGCGACAGGCTCGGATCTGCTACCCTACAAGTTGTTTTCACATCCCTATCTACGGGACATAACAGCTGTTCTTCGGGAATATCATCCTTTTTATTCATAGGGAGTAGTTTTCAATACACGGCAGTGGTGTTTCACGGGTAGAGATATAAGAACATTTTGTGGGTATCAGATCTGGAGTGAAATGTGACACTATTTGCAGGACTCGGCCCATATTAACTTGTATCCCATTGGATAATAAATTAAATGTCTATCATATAATTATAAAATAAATATTTGTTTTAATATTTTACATTTTAGTTTAGTAAGTCTTTTTTGAAATATCTTTTAGCAGATTTGACAGTCAAAAGATGATGTAAGCTTTTGCATTAAGATCTTATCTGAAGACTGTTTGGTTAAAGTGTGTATTTCTTTCCATGCGAAGACAAAATGAAAAAAGTTGAGAAGCTCCGAAAATAGCTCAAAAAGGATTTTGCACATCTTTTCGAGGTGGCATCCTATGGCGGTTAGATCTTTTCCCAACCAAATGGGAAAAGACCAAAATGTGGGTTGTCGAGCATCTAAACAGCTGACAGCCCGGATAGAAAGATGTGCCAAATGGGGACTAAATCTATAACTTTTGTTTGTAAGTCCAATTTTTTGGTTAATTAATTAAAGCATGGTTTTCTAACTGTTGTTGACTTGGATGGTCGGACAACCTGAAAATTGTCTAGGAAACCAAATTTATTTCACCCTTGACCCGTTCTTTGGCCAAAAACCATTGATTTGTTAGTGACTTGTTAAGCTAGGCTTTTTTATTTTAATAAATTTTGTATTTTTTTAAATTAGAATAAGTCGTTCATTCAAACAGAGCAGTCAAACTACTAACCTGAAAGCCGATTGTCAAAGCTGTTCTATTTTCAAGTCGATTTTTAAAACAATGAATTAAAGTACCCTTGAAGTTTAGGAACATTACATTTCATTGTCTTGCCCTTAAATTAGATAATAAGACTCTTTGGCCCTTAAGTATCCTCACTTCTCTACCTCAGGTAAATCCCTCAACTCTGTCAATTCAGTTTTGGATACTGATGAACGTTTTATATCTCTTGTACCAGATTCTCTTCCCAACCAAGAGTCGGAAGCCCTTGGTCTGAAAACCACAATGAGTCTACAAGGGGGGGGGGAAGTGGGTGAGGAATCTTGCAGAAAGGTAATAATTAGGAAAATCTTAGAAAGCCCCTTGGGTGAAGTGGAAAGGAAGGATTCGCAGAGAGGGAGCCTGGAGGGAACAGACAGGGTTGGAGGTAAAGTGAGAAGGAACAAGAAGCTTCCTAGGAGTGAGGAGAGTGCTTCTTTAGGGAAAGAGGAAACTTTTGGGGAAGAGTCAGTTACAGAGTTTGTGAAAAAGTTGGGGTGCAAGCTGAAGAACCCGAATGAGGAAACCAACAACCCCAGACAGAGAGTGACAACAAGTATGAGGAAGTTCAACCAATTTGTGGACTCTTTTAATCTCAAAGAACTTTCTTTCCTAAATAATAACTTCACTTGGTCCAACCTTCAATCTCAGCCAATTTGCTCTAAATTGGACAGATTTTTGTTCTCAACAGATTGGGAGGATCATTGGGGCAACATTACTTCTAGGGCTCTCCCTAGACTCACTTCAGACCACTGGCTAATAGTTTTGGTCAATGAGGAATTAAGAGGAGTAGGGCCTACCCCTTTCAAGTTTGAAAATATGTGGTTGTCTCATCCGGGTTTCACTGAGAAAATCAGAGAGTGGTGGGAGCAAGTGAATCCGGTAGTTGATTGGGAGG